GGTGCTCGGCACGGAGCCTGCCGGGTGCGGGCACGAAAGGGTGTGGCGTCTACATAGCTCCACACGCTGATCGCCGAGCGCGGCAGGGGGCGAGCAGAGCAGGTCCCGCCTCCCCGGGCCCGCGTGCACACACACGCCCACCGCGGCTCGGGCTGGGAGCGCGGGCGAGTGTGAGCGCGAGTGTGCGCACGCCGCGGAGCCGCTCTGCCCGGTCCTCGCACCCTGCCCGGGGCATCTGGAGAGCCTGGAGACGTGAACAGGCGTGAAGTATGGCATGTTGCAGAGATGGGCTCTGTCACCAAGGTACCCGCGACCGTGTTGTCCTTCGGGGCCAGTCTCGCCCTCCTGCGCGTCCTGTGCCTGGCGACTTGGTCAGTTCTCTGGGGTGCTGGGGGGAGGGGGGCGAGGGGAGGTGGAGAAGTTGCCAGTTCCCGACCCCGCGAGGCCTCCTGGTCTTCCCGGGTAGCCAAAGCTTCCCATCTCCTCTTTAAGATCTGTGACCGCGTAGACGCGGAGAGCACGAGGGGCGCCTGGTGCAAGAAGCGCTTGGGTACAGGGGTGCATGTGCCCGGGGGTGCGCTTTTTCTGGTCATTGCTGGCCTCTGCACCCCAGTCCCCAGCCCTGCCTCCTGACGCTCGGGGCAGGGCTTTTTTTTCCTAGAAGAGAAACCTGTTTCCACCTGTTCGCTGATCCTTTCTTAAAATAATCTCCTCCGCCTCCGTGTTTTGCGCTTGCAGTTTACACGAATCCCCAGGACAGAACGAAAAGGAGGAGAAATTGTGCCCGGAAAATTTTACCCGCATCCTGGACAGTTTGCTCGATGGTTATGACAACAGGCTGCGTCCTGGATTTGGGGGTATGAACGATCTCAAACGCGCGAGTGCTCTGTCCGTCCCTCTCTCGGTCTGCCTGTCTGTGGGAATATCGTTCGGTATGCCTCACGTGCAAAAATGAAAAAAAAAAATCTCTCTCCCCTCTCTCGTCTCTTGGTGAGACCTATGACAAGAAGAAGACCGCCCCCACCTGTCCTTTCCCATCCCTGCCCCCACAGAAGCTTCGCCTCTCCCCCACACTAATTACCTCCCGCGACCTGACTGCTGGGTGGGGGAGGCTGAAGGGGAGAGTCAAAAATGGAAACTCGGGGCTCAGCTGCCCTGCGGCTGCGTCCTGAGAGCGGAGTTCCCTGAACCTGGCGGCTTTGGCTTTGCTCAGAGCAGGTTGCACCGAAGTCCCCTGTCCTCCCACGCGTCTGTCCCTCTGCCAGAACCTCGGGTGGGTGTTCTACCTAGGACGTGAATCTGGGCCACCGAGGGAGAGCCCAGTGCTTCTTGTCTTTTCTCCGGCAGGAAGGATTTTTTTCTTTGGGGAGATGGCGTTTGCTTTTCTCCTAAGACTTTGGAGTCAGAGGTGTTTCCGGTTTCCTTCTTTTTTTTTTTCCTACAAAATACTTAAGAAAGGCTTAATGGAGGCACATCCATCAATGCGCTGTTGCTCTTCCATATTCATATCCCCTTTGCATATATAATGACGAGGTGGCAAGCTTTGCAGGAAGCACTAGCTTCACAGAAATCTTGGAATATAATTCGGAACCTCAAACAGCGTCCCTGTCCAGTTCCGTGAGGACAGGTCAGTGACATGCTGGAGTCCCACTCACAGGACGACCCAGGCTCCTGCCTCCAAAGGCCGGGGCTTTTGTGCTTCTCCAGTCCACGGCCCTGGCTGTCTTTCAGCAGATGAGGTGAACGAGATAGTCTATCCCAAAGGGGCTTGTGCTCCCATGGGAGTCGCAGTGATGACTGTCACTCACGTGGCACTTACCGAACTGTCATAAACACCATGCCTTTTGCAGGCATTCCTCTGGTCAACCCCGTAGCAACCCTGGGAGAAAGCGTCACACCCCTGCTTTACAGATGAGGCAGCGGGAACCGCTCCGAGTGCACAGTTAGGCGGTGGCAGGATCAGGACGCGAGCGTGGACCGGTTGAGGACAAGCCGGTGCAGTTTGGGGTGGCATCGGACACCATGTGATGAGTGTCCCGTATTATTAGAAGAGTGGAGGGCTCGCATGCTTCCTTTGAGGGTGAAAAGGAGGTGAGATATGGAAGAATGGGGACAGCGGCAGTGTGGGGGACAGGAAGCCACTAGGCCGGAGTAGGAGGGCTGCCGTCCCTGCTTCCAGAAGATGGTTAAAGATAAAATACAGGTGGAGAGGGCAGAGCCTGACAGGCCTTCGGAGGTCTCTAGTCCCGTGTTCTCGTTTACCAGAGGGGGTCTCTGAAGACTAGGAAGGGAAAGTGACTCATACCTGGGCCTGCACGTGGAATTCTTCTGAATTCCAGACCATTTTCTTCTGGGTTCTGTCAAGATCACGAGAAGCCACGAGGGCGGGAGGTCAGTGTTTGCGCCTGACAGGGATCCGGATGGGGGACAAGGACATGTCTCTCCTCGTTCTTTCCCCAGGGCCTCTCCAGAGACAGGCTGCCCGCACTGCATTGGCTGTCATGCCAATGTGAATAGACTTCATTACGGAAGCGAATTATTCGTCAACGCACTGTCTTTCATAAATGACTGGGAAATGAGCCTTTAGATCAGAAATAGTTCTGTAGAGAACGTTTCAGAGGATGTGATACCATTTAAGACGGTATTATATTGATACCCGAGGATGTATCTGCCCAGAAAGGTTTTAGGCTTGACATTTCCAGGGAAGAAAAAAAAAAAAATCGAAATCACACGTGGTTTAAATATTCATTGGAGAGTTGGTGTGTCTGAGCATACAGAAAGGCAGGAAGTTCTAACTGGGACGATACGGTTTAGTCCTCCATGGTCCTACGTGCTGAAGGTTAAAACAACTGCCCGGCTGGTTGTAATGCCAGCGTAACTCAGC